GTTTTAATAATTGGCATTGATAAGTTGGCCCGGGTTGTAATTTACCTAATTTCACATCCATTTCTTCATTTAGACTCTCGAAATTATCATCTTTAACGTCCATATTGTCTAAATATGCCACTTTTTCTTTGCGAACAAACTTGTCAAATTTTCTCAACCTCTATTTCTCTGCTTGAATTTTCTCAATTCGTCTCACTTTCTCTGCTAGTTGAGCCATATCTCTCAATTGCTCATTCACAAGTTTCTTTCGAATTGAAAAATCTAACCCAGTGGCTGCAATTTTTACCAACTCATGCTCAGGAATATTCATGTAACAAATAGCTTTGTGTAAGTAAAATTCAAACCCAGAACGGGCCGTTCCACTTTTGGAAGGGGCGTTCCAGTTTCTCATTTTACCCATAACGGACTAGCCCAGAACGGGCCGTTCCAAATTTGGAACGGGCCGTTCTGGCCCCCTTCTAATGCCTATAAATAGAATACTTGGGCACAGTTCTCCAGGGGGCTAGGGTCATCACTGTGTATAATTTTTGTGCTCACCATATTCTTTAATGATTACACTCCGCAACCACTTCCGGTTACCAGGACTTTCAGGCATATACTGGTTGGCCTGGGAACCAGGATCCTAAGTTTGGGGGAGTGGAGCTGCTGATGTTGATGGAGTTAATGATGGTGGAGCTGTTGCTAATGATGATGACCAGACTCCATAGATGGAAGCAGATGGAGCTTACCTTAGTTTACCTCTATTTATTGCAATTTATTTTTCTGTCTTTTATTTTCAGTATTTTAACTATTTTTATATCTACACTACAAGAAATGTTACATGTTGACACACAAAAATTGTCACTATAAGTACAATATATGTAGATATATGTCTATTTGACATATAGTTACACACAATTTTAGTGTTGATTTTGAATGAGATTTAACAACATATTTTGTGTGTCACTATAATCTATACCCACACTTTTTAATAATAAATCAACATATATTGTAGTTATTATGTGGGTAAAAGTAATTTTTAGTGACATATATAGTGTCACTATAGGGTGTGTGTAACGGTATGGTAATTTTGTTGTAGTGCTAGTTTCTTTTTGGTGATTACTCTGTTGGTTCTTTTTGTGAATATTCTGCTTTAACACGGTTTTTTATCTTGATTGATACTTGTTGTGCTTGTGGTCGATCCGGGATTATGGTTTGCTTGATGTTTAGGGTGTGTGTACTTTAGAAATTTTTAAGTCACGTTAGAGCTTTAGTCCATGATTAGTTGCATACGGGTTTTAATGTTGATCATAGAACTGAGCTGAGTTTGATAATTTGTGGATGCATAGCCGGGTGAGGTTTGAGCCTAAACACTGATGAGTGAACTACGCTTAAGTTGGATGATAGACTTTGCTTGAGTTTCCCTGGTGGTTTGCTTATGTTGTGCACTTATATGATCAAGGCATTCATATTTCCTTATTTTGCTAACCTTCTAAGCCAAAAAGCCATCTCCACTTTTCACTTGACTCATACCTTCCTAAGCCTAAACACCACACCTTCCACTATCCCAAACAGTGAAAAATTAACCATAATCTTTGCTGTGGTTAAGAGAGTAATTAATGACACCAAACAAGTTTGGGGGAGTTGAAAAAAAAGTGGACTTGTGACTTCACAAGTCAAGGTTTAAGCCCAAAAATAAATCCTAAACTAATTCGCCCCATAATACAAAGGCTAAATGAAAATACATAACAAAATCTTATTATCTAAAGTACCCCCAAAATACAAGGGTAAAAAAGGAAATAAAGCAATAAAGTCCTATACTACTCAAAATGGGCCTAGGAAAGGAAATAAAGCAATAAAGTCCTATACTACTCAAAATGGGCCTAGGAAATGGATCAATACTCCACACTCATGATGAGTACGGCTCTAGGCATGGTGTCTCCTTCATCTTCCTCCATTCTCCTAGCCATGGACCTAGTAATGGGTCCAATATGAAGCTCCAAGGGATTCATACAAAATTCAAACAGAAACTGATACACTAACACTGATACACTAATACACTACACACATAACATATCAGAGCTCTAAAACACAAAACACACAACAAAACAAATAACACACAAACACACAGAATATAACAGCAACCGAAGATCCCCGGCAACGGCGCCAAATTTGATCGAAGCTGTATCCGGTCAAATAAATACAAGTAAATGTAGTACTAGGAAGTGACTCCTAGGTCGTCTCCCAAGGACCGTCCTTTACTGCTAAAGGCTTAAACACGCGATGGGGGGGTTTGTTTTCGGATTTTCAGTTTGTAACACAATAAATACAGATAACACAGCAAGTAAAATGGATTGGCTCCTTGTTTGGATTATAACTCTCTTATCCCTGGTTCTCAAAAGATTACTCCATTAACCACTTAATCCTTGTTCCATCCGAGTTAACCAACTAAGCGAAGATTAACTCAAGATTTCCCTACACGAATTAAGAAAACGTATACAACATCAACCTCTTCACAGATTAAGCAACTGTGACATTGATACAGAGGTTAAATGAAGAAGACAAAGCAGAACAGAGATATACAACCATAACTGAACCTCAAACAGAGATTACAATCCACAACAAGAAGCCAACCCAGGGGTTTTTAGCCTTCCATTAAAATACAACAGAAACAGAAACGAAAATGGAAACGAAAATG